GGTTCCTTCCGCCCCTCCCTGCCCACAGCCCAGATTGACAGGGATGTGAGCGGTGGATGGGTGGACTGAGGCCTCCGAGACCCCTCCCCTGGACAAAGGCTGCAGAGGCACCTGCCTGAGTCCACGGGTGGCTCACCTTTCTCTCCACGCATCCCCTTCTCTCCTCGGTCTCCTGGAGGAAGATGCAGGAGAATGAGCTTTTGGCCCTGGACGTGTGGGCCGCGGAGAGGCCGGCCCCAGGGTGGGCTCCTGGCCTGGGGCACTGCATCTCCCCAGCCCTGCAGGCTTACTGAGGCATCACAACGCTCAGGTCTCAATGTTGGCGAGGGGCCCCGAGGCCTGGAATATGACAGGGCCCCTGTCTGCCTTCCTCTGTCTTTCTCTGTTGCTGTCTCCCCACCCTGTCTCTTTGTGTCTATGTCTGTGTCTCGCCCTCCCTTATTTCATTATACACAGCTCCAAGGTCCCTGCTTAAGGCCTCCTCGCTCTCTGCCCCCTGGTTACCTTTGGGTCCCACTGGTCCCGCCTTTCCAGGGGCTCCAGGGACACCGCGTTCTCCTGAAAATTCCAAAGACATATCATTGAGAAAAATGCAACCTAAACAATTCTCCCTGGAAATCTTTGCCCCAAGTGATAAAGTCCTGACCCTCCCCAACTCTGCCTTGAACCCATTCTGGTTCCAGGAACCCTCAGAATTGCGAGCCGTGGACTTAGCCGGGGGGTGACCGCAGATGGAGGTGAGGGAGTGATGGAGGGGCCTGCACCCCACCTTGGGCTCAAGGCAAGGTGCTCCTGGCTCCTGTTTATGCCTTGGGAGCATCTTGGGTTTCACCCTTTGTTGACCATAAGCCTGGGCCCAAGTCACCGTCACAGAGCTCAACTGTCTAGCAAGGGACCATGTTCTGGAACAAGGAATGCATCCTCCGAGAGCCTCGTCCTACCACATCCCCACACGGAGAGGGTGAGCCCCACGTGCGGCCGCTGCTGCCGGGGAGGATCCGGTTCCACCGTGCGCCTGAACTCCCGTGGTGTTACACAGCCCTCCACGCGGTTCCGACCAGAAAGGGGACCCTCCCGTTCCCCGATGCCAGCCGAGAGGCAGCCCCCAGTCCATTCGCTGATCCCGGTGGCTGGGGAGAGTATGTGGGGACTGGTTCTTGCTTTAGGGTATACTGGCCAGCCATGCCCACTGGTAGAAGCCTGGTTCAAGGGACGTCCGAGCCAGACTTGATTCTTCTCCTGCCAGGGAATGGCTTCCTCCCCAGCGTTCCCTCAACAGGTGATAGAGATCCCCACTCTCAGGTCCAGCCTGTGGAGTGGGCACAGAGGACCTGGCCCTGGACACTCACACGGAAGCCTGGACACGTCAGCGAAAGTCCAAGTCATGGGGACATTTGAGCTTGTCCCATCTACATTGGGACATCCCCGCCAAGTGCTCCGCAGGCATCACCTTGAATGCCTCCAGGCATGGGGAGCTCACCCTCTAAGGCAGCGCTCTTTCCAAGCTTTTATGCACATCTGCCTTACGCGATGCTTAGGGGGTACCCAAAACCACCCAAGGCAGGTGCCTGCTGTTGGTTCTCCCACGTTCCCTGCAGACCCGCATGCAGAGCTCAGGGCTCAGGATTTGGGCACCCTCTGTACCCCGAAGTAGACTGGTCCAAGTCCCATCCCCACGCCTTACTGGTTTGTCAAGTAGGAAAGTCCCTGACCTTTCTGAGCCTCAGTTTTCCCCTATGAGGCAGGTGCAGAAGAAAACGGTCACCTCAGTTTTCAGGTGAGAAGGCGGAGGGACATAGAGCTTAGAAGTCGTGCCAGTGGCCGAGCAAAGCTGAAATTGGATCAAGGGCTTGGAGACAGAGCTACAGAAGCGTGTCCAAATGTGAGCTCATGAAATAGTTAGGAAAGACACTGCCTCCATTTCAGAACCCTGTTGGGCCCTGGGAGTCAGCTCTGTTCCTGGCTCTAGCAGGGGCCCGACCCAGGCTCTCGATCTTGGAATCATGGTGGGGGTGTTGCTCAACTCAGCCTCTAGTTTCAAAAACAGCAAGAGCCAGTGCCCACCACCATGCCTGGCCTCCCCACCCTGCCCGCACCTACCTCCCTTTCCATTGGCACCTGCCTCTCCTTTTGGCCCTGGAGCCCCGGGCAGCCCCGGGCAGCCTCGGAGAATGGTGAGCTTGTCAGAGCCCTCCAGGCCCACCACCTTCACCTCTGCAGAGAAACACAGGTGCCCACTCAGTGCTTGGCCCAACAGTGGCTGGAAAGTGAGGTTTTCAGCTCTGCTGGGGCCTTGGTCTGTCCTCGCCCCTCGGGCACTGGTGAGGCGGAGACATGATGGGGGACAGAGTCCTAGCGTTGGAGGCCACCCCGACACAGCGAGCCTCATCTCCTCAGTGCTGTGTGTCCTGGGGCAAGTCACTTAACTCCTCTGGGCTTTGTGCCCTGGGCTACCACGTGGGGATAATAATAAGGTTGTGGCCAGGGCTGGATTAGAGAATGTACATTTTAATCTCTTAGTGTAATTTGTGGCATTTAGAAAGAGCTTAATAAACAGTGGGCACTTGCAATAAACAATGACAATCAATGTTTCTAAGAAACTTGGGGAATTGAGGCTGACAAAGCATTTTCCCTCCCAGACCTTGGGAATGTGGTTGTGGAATTACTGGACTGGAAGGGGCCTTCTAGGTCCTCTGGAGAGGGGCAGTGTGGGGTCCAAGGACACAGAGCCAGGTGTGGCACAGCTGGAGCCAAACCAAGGTTGTCTACTTCTTTGAAGAAATATTTTTCATTTTGTTCATTACAAAATCTACACGCCCTGCTAAGGGCCCTCTTAGAGACTGTGGAACAGAGCAGCGCTCTCACTGGAGACACGGCAGCTGCCATCTTTGGGGTGTTTCCTCTCTGTGTTTCCTGTCCTCCTTCCACTAGGCTGTAATTTACTATTTATGTTTCCTCCATAAATATGTGATCAGCCAGGGAGGCCGGGCCGTCCTTAGGAGCAGTCTCTCGCTGAGCATCACAGAACCACCTGCTCCTGAATCAACGAGGGAAACACCTCGTCACTGTCCAAACCTTTGCCCCTATCGACTGATTCTGACTCTTTAGGGGGAGAGCCAGAAATCTGCCTTTTTAACAAACTCCCCAAGTCAGTGTGGCAGCCACCGTATTAGAGGGCCTCTCCAGCAAGCCCGTAAGAAGAAAAAGTCAACAGTATTTTCTTCCTTCTCAGTGACAGATTCCAGACCCATCTGTGAAGCTCCATGGGGCAAATCCTGGGCTTTTGAGGCAGACAGACCTGAAGTGACATCCCTCCCCTATCCCTCCATGACCCTGGGTGATGCCTCGGCTGCCCTGAGCCTCCATGTCCTTGCCTGAGGATAGAACAGATCTGCTGGGCATCTTTGCAGGAAGATG